ATATAATGTATTTGTGAGAATAACACAACGGAACTAGTTCGGCAAGAAACTTTTTGACAGGGAGCGTGCCGAAGTCATGAAGCTTTCATCAGTCATAGTCATATTTTGTATATCTCCTTGGGCATGCCTTTATGTTTTTCTTTGAGTTATGTAGTGGCAGAACGTCTACAACTCCTATGTCATCCTCCTGTGTACTACATTTGGCAACCTTCTCTACTGACTGATGACTCAATCGCAGTGGCCCACAACTCCTATGTCACTAGTCCAGCGAATTCCTACACCATTATATATATATATTATATAGCCCTCAAAATACGAAAAAATATCGACACCAGTACAATTTGGAAGATCCACCAAGTGTCCGACTATGTCAGGCTGCGCAATGTCGGTCCAAACAAGACAATCAGAGGTTCTACCTCCCCAGACTTCTCTAAGTCACAGGTCACTGTCCTCTCAGGTGCTTAGTCTTCATTGCTTTGGTGAACTCCTTACACCTCGGGGAGCACTGGCAGGCGTGCAGTACCGCGGCATTTTCCGCGCAAAGACATGGCGCGCATGTGGTGTAGCAGGTAGGGAAGAACGGTCATAACGACCATGTCGATGAAGCCGACGCTGCTTTTACGGAGATGATAGCAAAGTACCTGATATCCGAAATGATCCGACATCGTCCGGATACAAAGATGATCCTCGTGTCGATATCCTCTATGAAATGGCAGGGGATAACCTCTCCCATAAAACGTTTTATGAGTGCATGCCTTGGGGTGGTCAGTGTATCATTTTATAGTGAAACCATGCTTGCAAGAGCTTCTGTTTCAGTTTCACCATGCTGCCGCTACTGCTCATTGATAGAGGCATCACAAACCATCAACAAAAATATATAAAAAGAAAAGGAAAGCAACATATCCAACATATATAAATATAGTATATTTTGATAAGGACGTGAAAAGCTAGAGCTAAAATCTGTTAACTTTTGTGGCAGCGTGTGGGACAGCCATGACAGAAGCACCGCCCGGTGCACCAAAAGTATGCGCCACTTGTCTCTGAACGTAGAGGTTCCACATTGCAGATGATTGAAGCAACAAAACGTATTTGGCTTTTCTTTGGCTTAGGGAGTCAAGAATTGCGTGTACGACATGAATCCTCCAACTTGGAGCCCAAAATATGGTTGGAGCTGCTTGGCTTCTGGTGTTTCTAAAATGTTTACGTATCTGATTCTAAGTTCCATTTTTCGGGGTTTCTGTTGGGAAAATTTATGGCAGTCGCGCTGGCGACTAAGATGCCCGGTGCAAACTTCACACCGGGCAGCGAGCATCCTGGCACTATACTTATTGGAATCCAGATACGTGCCTTTGGCTACAATGAGGGGGTGTTAGGGACCTTGTTTGTTTAATTTTGTCAAATTGAATTGCAAAAAGCCAGCGGTAAATGCATAATTTTTCAATTACCAACCATCCGCCCAGGAAGACTTGGGAGTGGACACTGGAGATCAGCCGGCTGTTCAAGAAGTGTTTCCAGGCCGAGAAAAACATACATGAAACATGTGCAACGGGAATCCATTCGATAAACGTGTCTGGAAACAGCGTACAGCCCACAGGAACCTGTCAAGATTCCTGTCAAGATGGATCCAGAGGCCGTTGCGTCCTCAATGAAGTAGGACAAATTTTATCATTTTTTTGAAGGCAGATGTGTGTATTATTGTGTATTTAATCTTTAAAAGTAATCGTCAAAAAACATTTAGCAAAACAGTTTTTGAGTTGGAACCTGATGGAATTGGGGCCCAAAGCGATTTGATAGTTTCAGGATTTTCTAGTTTGGTAGCCGCGTCGCTTGGGGCATTTGGTAGTCATGCGCGCTGACGACACCGCCACGTCTGTGGAGGAGAAAATGTGTCTTGACTATTGTTGTATTTCTTTGGCCAGATGTTGAAAGAAATCACCGCCAGTGTTTGATGTAAGTTCATGACTCTTGGTGATATGATATGATATGTGTAGACAGCTGTCTTATGTTGTCCTCAATGCCATCCAGATCTTAACAAATATATAATAATATATATGTATATATATATAAAGATTGAACAGAGACCGTACTATTCCACAAAGAGAGAGAGAGAGATCCTTGATATTTTGCTTCTATAAAATGTTAATCCTTGACCCTCTCACTAGCTATGTTTTTGTTGAATGGGACATTCAAGGATTCCAAAGATTGGAAGATGTTGAATTTGTTATTTGTTTCTTGTTGCGCCCGGTTTGATAGTGATGTTTAAGGTTAGGAAGGTCATTTTATAGAGATTGTCAGCTCAGGTGGTTTAGAGCAGAGAAGCATATCTGGTTCTTGACCACCTTTGTTTCCCAATTGGCGCTGGAATGTCGCTTGGCCTGACATAATCCCAGAGCGTTGATTTTGACGAGAGTTCAATTACTAAATATGTTTTTTCATTTGGAAAGCCTAAGGCACCCAGAGCCTTCATTGCCTGGATTGCTTTGGTGCCTCGCAGTCCGTTTCGTGCCTCTCACCAATATATGTGTAGTTTCATGCAGATTCTATTGTAGACTTTATCAGGCTTGAGGCTTGCATTGAATTGAACTAGTTTTGTTTTATGTTTTTAGCATAGCTAGCTCAGGTCCTGTTGGAGGAGGGCCGGATTTTTGGCAGAGTCTTATGACATTGCTCTCTCGAACGAACACGACTTGACTACATTCGAGGGAGTTGTCAATCTCCTGAAACTTCTACTGCAGCTGGCTGGCCTGATTATTTGTAAAAGATGTAAGTTGGTTGCTTGATGAACTTTTTTGAGCTGATTGAGCTTCAGTTGCAATCAGACCTATTCTGAAATATGATTTCAGAAAACACATGTTCTTCAAGATCCATAGGCTGTTGCCCTCGGCGATAGTCATTGCTGGGCGACCGTGCAGTTTGTTTGTGGCGGCTTGTCAATCTGTCCATGCCCGGTCTCTCTCCAATCTGGCTGGCAACGTGGCGAACGCCAAAGTCCGATTGGCCAATCGGATATGGGCAAACTTTGTGACCTGCTTAATTTCGAGTAGATTGACGTCAAGCAACTAATGAAACAACAGACAGTTAAGTAGACTTTTGGATACTTTTGGTATGTTTTGGTGATTACTTTCTGAGGCGGCCTGTCTCAAGATCATATACAGGCCTGCTCATTTGACACAACATGCAATTGCTTTTGCTATCTTTTGCTTAGCGCGCAACAGTTGAATTCATTTTGTACGTCACCACCCCAAACATAAATCCCCGTTGCCAGGCATCGCCAAGATTTGTACTTGTTGATCGAGCAACCGTCCTCCAGTTGGGCATTCAAAACGCCAGAGATGGTGGAGATCAAGAAGATTTGGGGCATGTGACTTGCATTATTCTGCGTCATTCTTCGGACTTAGTATGAATATGATTGAATATGTATGATATTTGAGTTTTTTTTGAGAATGTTTAGAGTCCTAGTCATATGAGTGGTGTTGCTGCAGGACGAAGCTGACCACGTATATGGGCTGCTTCGCCCATGATTTGGAAAAGTGTAGCCATTTGCTGATAAATTGGAGGATTGCTGTGGGATGATTTGAAAGAAAACATCACAATGATGAATATGGTTTGATATGGTTTGTTTGAGTGTGGTTCTGTGATTGGTTTGTTTTCATTTGATTTTGACTGTAGGAGTGGAGAACAACTTGCGCGCACTATGACAAAGGCTTTGCGTAACAAGATCAAGGACCCTGGGATCATCAACTTTAGACAACTTCCAACTTCTGTTGTTTCACGATGCTTTCTTCAACATCTTTTATTCGATGTTTGCAGGATCGATTCCAGAAACGTCAGGCGAAGCGCAAGATTCCCAAGGCGTGGTGCTTTACAAATAGAAGCAAATAGAATACAACAAAATCAAGAAGATCCAAATTTGATTTTCATTTTTTTTGAAGCACAGATCCTCTGGTTTATGGTTTGTTGATTTCCTGGAAGGAGTACTACGTGAGCCATTCCAACGGAACTTGGAGCGGTGGGAAGCATTTAGCTTCCTCAGCCAGTTACACAGGCCACTTCTGCAGGGCTATCCTAAAGTCCTGGCAAGGCTGATTTGCTCCTTCTGTTTGTCGTGTGTGAAGCGCCAAGTTGCTCATTTTCCAAATAAGTTTAAATCAGATGTGATATTCCATCTGCTTTCCTTTGTGTTTTGTGGACATGTGGTTTGGCAAAGGCCAAAACAATACAACCACATTGAAACTGTTGTGAGCCGGCCTCGTGGTGCTCGTGTGGGAGGGGCATCTTTATGGTAGAGCCGGTGTTCGCTGGGATTTGCTCATTGGGAAGGTGTTCAAAAAGATCTGTGCGGGTGTCAGGTTATGTGATTTTTTGATTTTGAGACGTTACAATCAACATCATTCAACTGTGCATGCAGTTCATCTAACAGGGTGAGGATTACTTTCTATAATTTGGTAACCTTGAGGCCCCACTGGAGGACAAAACCGTTGACCAGAGCGCATTGCCAGGACTGGTGACTTCCCAGCACGGCCAGGGTTCTGGAGGTGTTCTAAACGTAATCCATTTCATGGTGGCC